TTTTTTAAATGTTGCACATAACTGCTGCATTTGCTTCCCTGCAAATTATTTCAGAAATGCTGTGTTCTTGTACAAGATGTAGCACCTTTCTGAACTCTGGAAAAAAAATTCAGTTGAGGAAGTTTCTTTGGATGTTGCAATTAATTATAACTTGCCTTATTATTTCCTCTGCTTTCAATTTCAACTGTCTTCCCAGCTTTCAATTTCTTAAGATTGCTTGGATGTCAGAACCTGACTTATAATGTCTTCTCCTCCTTGAACTTTAAACTGATGGTTCCTATGTGGTTCAAGTGCCATAGTGAGTAAAGTGTCCTACAAATATTAGAAATGAAATGCTTTGTTAGGAAATAGAATTGGTAAGAAGGTTGGTAAGAAGTGCCACATTTCTTTATTGAATCTTCTTAATGAAACAAGAAAAGCTATTCTTGAGATTGAGTACTCCATTCTAAATGATTCTGGGGCATACCCTTCTCTCTAGTACACTCAGTCTAGAGTTGTTGATCTCTTCTTCTATTCTTTATAGCTCATTTGAAGACTCTCCCATATGTGCTTAAATGGTTTTTATTCCATTTGTACAGCCAAAGCTTTCCGCAGACATTCACAGATCTATTATGCTTTCTTATTTCATTTCTCTGAAATAAACTGTAGCTCCAGCAATGCATTGTGAAGACTGCCAAAGAATTTCTATCATTTCTCTGTTCGCTGAGTTGTTTTCAACTTATGTTGTTTTCAAATGTCTCATCAATAAAAAAAATCAAAGTGAAGTATAACTGGCATCCTGTCTTATTCCTTTAAACAGTACAGCTTATAGATTTATTACAGCATAATTTGGAGTACCAAGTACAGTATCTCATAGCATCCTTTTCTCCCCATGAATAAGAAAAGCCAAAATGGGACAAAAATGTGTTAAAACATTAATGAAAAAAAAAACAAGATGAAAGGATGTCCTAGTTTTGCCCCGGCTTTGCCTATTCAAATATATATATTTTGAATACATCATCTGAGGACAAATTGTGGACAGCCCAAAACCTGTTAGCTGTCAAGGTCCTTTTCGAACAATCTTCTCAACAGGAAGAATGCCCAAATTAGAATAGAATAGTTTATTAATTGATTACTCTTACAGCCTTATTGATGAGATAAAAATAAAAAATAAAAAATATAGCCTGCTTCCAGAATAAAATAGATGGAAGGTAATACAGTGATAAAATACATATATGATAATACAAGGAGTCAGCAATCAGATAAGCGAATCTCCTTTGCACGATGCCCAGTTTGTTGAATGTATCAGGTTCTTACCTCAACAGCCTTAATTAAGAACTTAGCAGTTGTGCTTTCAATGTTTACTTTAGAGCCTTGGAGAAAATAAGCTCATTTATAAATCATTTCTCAATGGGCTGGCTGTTCTTTCTGCCCAAACACAAAAATTAACAATTTATGTGAACATTGTAAACCAGTTAAGTCTAGTTAGTTAAAATATGTATACATATATACAAGATTTTAGTGTTTGTATTATTTTTTTAAATTGGATGAGTGTTTTTTTTTGGGGGGGGGGTTAAGTTGATTCTTCTATGTTTTTGGTTTGTACCTTTAGACATTCATTGTCTTCAGTATTTTGTTGCTCTTTTGTATGTTTGCACTGTTTATGTTTTTATAATCCTGTTTGAAAAACCCCATAAAAATGGGGAAAAGTGCATCCATGAAAGCATTAAGACATATAGAGGTAATCCTTGGTTAGTGACGGTAATTGGGTCCAGAATTTCTATTGCTAAGTGACCTGGTAATAAAATGCGTCATCAAATGACCACACCACTTAGCAACAGCAGTCTTGGCATTTCCAGTTACCATTGCAAAGTGAATCCCGTGCCATCGTTAAGAGTGATGCCATGTGGTCACCATTTGTGAACTCCTGCTGACTTCCCTGTTGATTTTGCTTGTTGGAAGCTGGCAGTGAAGGTCACAAATGGTGATCATGTGATCATAGCTGCTGCAATATCATAGCTACAAGCTAGTTACCAGCCACTTGGATCAACTTCGAAGACCAGCATAAATACCACTTGTTCAGCATTGTAAGTTCAAATTGTCACTGAAAGAATGGTCAGTAAACAAGGACTGCCTGTATGCTATGCAAGATTTCTCGCTTTCTGGAAGATGGGGATAATAAAAAGAACAATTTCATTTACTTGGATTTTTCAAACTGGATACAACACAATGGGGTCTGCAGGCACAAGTGAAAAAATTATTTGCAAGGACTAAAAGTAAAACAGTTTAAAAACAAAACATGTCTGCAAACAGGCAGGGGGGGGAGAGAAAAGAAAGAAAGAAAGAAAAAGAAAGAAAGAGTAAAAAAAACCCACGCTTTCTAAGTGATTTACAAAGTCACCATACTGCCCCCAACAATTTGGGTCCCCATTTTACCCATCTTGGAAGGATGGAAGGCTGAGTCAATCTTGAGCCTGGTGAGATTTGAACTGCCAAATTGCAGGCAGCCAGCAGGCAGCAGAAATAACCTGTGATACTGCACTCTAACCACTGTGCCACCATGGGTAATTTAGTGCTTAGGCTGACTGCCAGCTGCCTGCAATTTGGCAGTTCAAATCTCATCAGGCTCAAGGTAATAAACAGGTTTCATCACTGGAAAAAGTTTGAAAATTGATTTATACTTTTTAGTAATAATTCACACTTTTAAATAAAACCTTTAAAGAAACTCAGAGTGAAAAATAGTAACTACACATAAAAATCACTAGTAGAACGTACTGTTGATATAATTTAATAGCTTTTAATACAATTGTTCCTTTAAAACTATTGTATACTTGTTTACAGGTGATTCTCAACTTAGGACCACAATTGAGCTCAAAATTTCTGTTGCTAAGCAAGACAGTTGTTGAGTTTTACCTCATTTTACGACTTTTCTCACCACAGTTGTTAAATGAATCACTGCAGTTGTTAAATTAGTAACCCAAGTGTAAAGTGAATCTGGATTCCCTATTGACTTTCCTTGTCAGGTGACCACATGATCTCAGGACCCTACAAGTGTCATATGAGCCAGTTGCCAAGCATCTGAATTTTGATCATGTGACTGCAGAATGGGGATGCTGCAGTGTGGAATGTGGTTATAAGTCACTTTTTTCAGTGCCATGGTAACTTCAAAGAGTCACTCTTGAATGGTTGTAAGTAGAGGACTACATGGACTTCCAGAGAATATGTTTAAGATTGTAGGAAGTTAGCAGCCAGCCCTCTCCTAGAAAAATGAAATATCCTGGGAAATATATGTCAAATATTGACATATTTCCCTGGATCAGAAATGGAGAAACATGTTTTTAGGCAGGGAACAGACTCACTCTTAATAACCCCCACTTTCATTAATGGGCCATTAAAACGGCGGAGCCTGTCTGTTCTACATAACAAAGAGTTTCCCCCCTTCAGCTCTAGGGTGATGGGATTAAGGCATGATAGTATTAACCCTTTACCCATCTCACCATAGGGCATCTGGGAAAAAACAATGCTCTACCAAACCTTCACTCAAGACAGCCTGTAGAGTTGCCCCTGCATGGCCCCATGGGAGTCTGACAACCAATCAGAATATTCTTACACAGGAACAGGAAACAGAGAGGTGGGTCCAAACAGAGTATAAAAAATCCAGCCAGCCCCTTCTCTTTTTTCTTTACCTAACATCTGGAAGCATGTGACAACCCCCCCCCCCTTTTCTGTTCAGGACCTCAAACCATATGGTCCTGTCCACCATTAAATCATCTTTCTAAGTAGTTTCCATGTTTCCAGTGATTTTTTCCCCACTTGGAGCTGAACCCAGAAGAAAAGTTTCTTCCATCAAGATTATCCTATAAAAATAGACAAGAATATGAGAGATCCTCTGTGCTCTCTGAGCTTGTTTTCTTGCAGATGTTTCAAACTAATACTTCTTGCACATCTGCAAGAAAACAAGCAAGCTCAGAGAGCACCAAGGATCCCACATTTCAATCCTGAGTTGCAAATATTATCCTTTATTAGACAAGAATATATATCAAAAATATCATAGATATCTCAGATCTAACCATTTTAGACATAGTAATAGGAGAGCCATGTAAGTCTGGTAGCCAAACATCAAAAGAAAGCTCATAGCATCTCTCCAAACAGACAAAAAATAATAATCCTATTATTTAGAAAACGATTTAGTAAGGAGATGGTGTAACTAAGTGGCCATCTGGTAAACAAGGAATGAATTATCTTCCTTTATTTGAGTATCCTCTGTGGAAAAAGAATCCAATCATTGTTACTCTATGGGATGGTCCCCCAAAGTGGTGAATACCGACTCCCAGGGGTTAATGGGACTAGTGCTACTATAATTATTGCTTAAAATAGTATTTATTAAATAATTTTAACGGGGGTCAATGAACAATCTGCAATTTCATGAAGGGTACGATGAGATGAAAAAATTTGGGGACTCGTGTTGTAAGACAACAAGAAATAACTCTCAAATGAAAGATTATTGTTATTAACCTGAAGAGAGTAACCACAGTAGTCATTGTTTCCTAGTATAATTTGATTGCTTATTAGTAACCTATCACTATCACTAAGTGTTGAACCTTATGATGCTTGATGAATGTATTCTATTTTATTTTTCTTTATGTACACAGAGCATATGCAGCATAGACAAATTCCTTGTGTGTCCAATAAAGAATTCTATTCTATTTTAAAATATGACGTCAGGAGGTGACGTACGTGAATGCGATCCGACAAATCAGGGGTAAATTATGTTCGTTTTCTGGGGGGAAAGAATCCAATTGTTGCTGCAGGGAGTGAAGTCGGGGGGGGGAGGGGAAACCCACCGCAACATGACATTCCTCCTGGAGGCTTCTCGAGAGCAATTCCATTGTGTCCCCGGAACCTCTTCGTTATGAAAAGATGGTTGCCCGACGGAAGGTGTTTCATGTTGCGCCGTCCGAACTGCGGGGCATTATGGGGGCTCGCGATTGAAAACCGTTTCTTTTCTTTGCCTCCCCTTCCCCTCGCCTTTCGGCGGGTTTAATTAAAATGGCGCCCTGAGGCAGGGGCCAGTCAAAGCACCGGGTTGGGCGGCTCGGGGAGTGGCCCTGCGAAGAGGGAGGGAAGGAGGGCGCTCTCCCCGCCCTGCCACCCCCTCCGCGCGCGAGGATGGCGAGCCCGGACCAGAAGTCCCCCAACGTTCTGCTGCAGAATCTCTGCTGCCGCATCCTGGGCAAGGGCGAAGGTAACGGTCTGGCTCCCCTTCCTCCCCCGCCAGAGAGGGTTGCTCTCTGGCAGGGAGAGAATAAGCGGCTCCTTTGTAGCTGTCAGGGCCGCTCCGAGCAGCCGGGCTTTCCAGCTCCCCTTCTTAAGAATGAGGAGGAGGAAGATGGTGATGCTGCTGCTGCAGAATACAGACGGAGNGATCGATCGATCGATCAATCGATCGATCGATCGATAGATAGATAGATAGATAGATAGAGTATATATAATAGCTCAAAATAGAATTTGGGATGTCTTAAATGGTAATTGGTTGGCATTTAGTGTACATGATTTGAATACAATTCTTATGCACAGTTCATTTTAGGCATGCATTATTTTTATAGGTTGATGACCGGCTACAAAACCACATGGGGATCAAAGGGTGCATGCAACAGATCCCTCCTTCTGCTGTTATCTGTTTGTCATTCAAATTTAATTCTCCTTTAACTGTACCTTTTATATGATTTTATGACTTTTTATCTGTATCCCTCAGGGTCATTTAGATAGTGAGATGGGCGGTGCCAAAACTTGGCTTAAAAAACAACAACAAGTTGATCATCAAGAAATACAATTGCACCGAAGATGGCATGGAAGTTTTGCCTGTACAATTACAGTGAAGATTTAATTTAGATAAGAAAAGCTATAGTTTTAAGTATTCAAAAAGTATGTTTGAAATTGCATTGTGTGCTAATGATGAACACATTATTGCTAAGATTTATAAACTCTTGATGAACTCTTGTTTATAAACTTGTTGCCCAAATGGAGTTTCACCTGCTTGCCTGCTATTTGTGTATCCCAGTTCCCAATGGACTTCGGCCCAGGAGTTGGGCCCCGCCTGGACTCATGGATTGAAAAGCATGTTGAATTATAATGTGAAAGAAAATTTTTATGAGATGATGTATTGTTGGTCTTTAATGCCTGAAAAATTGCAAAAAAAATATGATGAAGTTTCAAATATATTTTGAAAACACAACTGCAAGGAATATTTTAAAATCATTTCTGGTGAATAAAGCAAAGAAATATTGGGATCAGATTTTTTCCTCTAATTCAGAAGAATCTCAACATAAATATAAACTGAAATCAGGAATTTTCCTTTTAGGTTTGATAGATAAATAAATTGAAAGGATAAGTGGAACTTTGTTATGCTATATGTTGACAGCAGTGAGAATCTTATATGCTCAAAGATGGAAAGACGCATTAATTCCCACAATGAAAGAGTGACCAGTAAAGATGATGGAATTAGCAAAGATGGCAACATTGATTGTTTTAATTAAAGACAAGAATTTATCTAACAGTTTAGATTTATCTACTTGGAAATCATTTATGAACTTTTTGCTTGAAGCTGAACAAAATAAAATTTGATTATAGGTTTCAACGATTAGAATTATTTTGTAATTATAGAAATGGTTTGAAATGTTGTGAAATGTTAAGCAAAAGATAATATTGCACAATTTTTGCAATCTATGTACTGCACCAAAGAAAGTTGGACGCCATTACTTTTTTTGCACTTTTCTCTTATTTTTCTAATTTTTGTTTTATTTTTATCCTATAATGAAGCTTAATTAAAAATAAATAAAAGGAAATTGTGTCTGTAATGATCAATCTCACCTATATGGCATTCTGTTTAATAGTGCAGATGCTGCCTTGATGAAGGTGTATGGACAAACCAACCATCATACAAAACAGAGGTTTATTGAATATCTGCAGGTAGCCATTTTCTTAATGTAGAGTGAATTCTGGTGAATATTAAAATAGATAGATTAGGTAGGTAGGTAGGTAGGTAGGTAGGTAGGTAGGTAGCTGGATGGATGGATGGATTGATGGACAGACTGACAGACAGAGTGCTTTGCCTTTTTATCAGTGATAGACAACATAACCTGATAAAACATTTCTCTAAAGCTATCAAATTCTTTTATCTAGTTATATGTAGAAAGCAATATTATTTCTGCAGGATCCAATATGAGTCGGTCACTGGCACCAGGTTTTTATTCTTCCAAGCTTCCTGATTTGTACTGGAGCCCATCCTCAGGGAACCTCTCACCCTCCAGAATGTGTGGAGGATTTTTCTCTAAGGCACCCACTCAGATTTATCTCCAGGTGTGATTGCATTTATTTATTTATTTGGTTGGTTGGTTGGTTGTCCAATTCCTAAACAATTGGGATGCTTTTGGCTCAGTGGTGGGATTCAAATAATTTACCAACCAGTTCTCTGCCCTAATGACCAGCTGGGTAGGCGGGGCTCAGTAGGCATGTCATAATGTGGACGTGGCCAAGTCAATGTCACTCAGGTCGATGGGCACTTCGCCTTAGTTGTTACAATGGTAATAAGGGTTAACTGGAGAGGCAGTTTCGGTAAGCAGGGCAATAAAAATTANTGAGCTGGCGGGGCGAGCAGGCTGGTTCACGTGCCCCGGCGGTCCCTTTGGCAGGGAAGAGAGTAGTTGCGGCTACCTTAGTGCGCTCTTCTTACTCCTCCCCACGCATCCCGGCGAACCCAAGCAAGGGTTCAAGTGGGGAGCACGAATTTGAACGGCTGTTCAGTTAATGCCTCTCTCAGTTCTGAAACCAATCATCCCCGGTCTAGGGAATTATGATCCTGGGAACCGTCTTTCGTTCTAATTTGAATTCCTTAAAGAGAAGGCAGAAGGAGCAGGTGTGGAAGGCAAACACTGTGGGGGTTGTAAAACTGCAGGCGAACATGACTTAACTGTATGGTAAACAAGGTTTATTGTATGAGTCAATTAGCTCTCATTGAAAGGTTGATTTTTTGTTTACTGCTGGTCAAATAGCAAGCTGAAAGTGCTGACCTATGTTTGAAAAAATATTTTATTTTTGAAAAATGGTCTTAGTTATTAGGGTGATGGGCTATTGTTGAAATGTTGATAGCAAGCAGCAAAAGATTCCCTTCAGAGCCCAGTTTCTTGTAGAATATTACAAGAGGTTAAATACATATGATTGTTTACTACTTCCCATATATATTCATTCAGACACAATTCAGTAGATACAGGCATGCTGCTTAACTGAATTCAACAGTTAAGTCAAAAGATAGTGATATATACAGTGATACTATATGTAGACAGATGTATTAAAGGGATAGGGATCTTGGGATTCAAAATATTACTGATGTCAAGAATCTTGCTAGAATTAACTAGCAGCATGCAGAAAACCATGTGATCACGATCACTTTTGTAAAAGACGGATTAAAAGTTACAAAAACAAACATTTGAAGATCTTCCGGAACTTCATTACTTTCTCTGAAGACTTTAGTTAGTAGAAGAGTCCCTACAACACAACTGTATGCTGCCACAAACCTATCAAATCTCAGGATGGATTTAGAAACAAGTGAACCAGCAGGTATTTGTAGAAATCAAGAAAAGTTCCAGGATTGTCCACAACCAACTTTTGGAGAGATAACTGCACCAGAGATACCAAAAGTTTATGTCAGGAGAAATGTCCTAATTGAAGACGTAGCCAAAAGGCGCATATACAGCCCACCCCAAACAGTGCTACTAAGGGCCTGGCCAGCAGGCAGGCCAAATCTGACATAATCTTTAAATGTGGCATAATGGCTATCTGCCAGAGTTAACCCTACATCCTTGGTCAGAAGAGGCTACTTACAGTCAGAAATCAGTCCATTAGATTTTAAGGTGGAAGTCCAGATCAAAGTATGGCCAGCTGTGGCCTATAATCTTTGGAGAAGAAATGACACAAATGTTTAAAACCCATATTCCAGACTAGCAACATATGTACCTGAGATTGGCTTCATAAAGAAGCCTTTTTTAATCCAACTGCCTCTCCATTCAGAATATGCTTTTATCTCTAGTGAGGAAATCCAGAAAGGACACTTAGTTCATCTATAAGTACTTTCCTCTTGAGGTTAAATACCCAGAGAAGGTTTTGGTCCCAAACTTTTGTTGTGATGAGTACTATTCTTCAACAAACATTTTTCATGCCAGTTGTGTTTTGGAAGTTGTAATCTAGTAATACACCCCAGGTGGGATTGTATTAGTTAACTAAAAGGAGAAGGGGGTTTCTTCTTTCAGCCTTATTTCTAAGTTCCCAGTTGAAATGGATAAAATGATGCTGAAAGTCATTTTGGTAGCATTCACTCTGGAGGGCAGAGTGGGAGAGTTTCAACCACAGTCCTTTTGGAAACTCTTATGAAAAACCTTACCTTAGCCATTATTTTTGCTGAGCAATAAGCATAGCTTTGATCTTAAGGCTGGCCATAAAAGTCTCTGTGATAGTCGTAGATCATATCTGTCCTCTTAGCTCCTTCATTGCCAGGCTTCTATAGTTGCGATTCCTTGTATCTGTATATAAAAAAGATTTCTGATCAATGTACTTTACCTTGTCATCTTTTGCTGTATTGCATGAGTTGTAACTTTCATTATAAATCACTCTTTCCATTTTCAAAAGTGAAGGGCAGTTAATTTTTGCAGGCCAGTGCAGATTTTCTAACCTGTTGTGCAATTCATATATGTAATGGAATTGGTGTATGCTTGGCACAAAGATCAGGAATCATATTGAGAGCTGCTGGATAAATAAGTTTTTAAAAGCCTTGAACTATCTGTTATAATTCTGTTATGTTCTATTGCATTGTGATGCTATTAAAAAAGACATGCCAAAAGCATGTCTTAAGGGTAATACTTATGGGTAGCACTTAAGTGTGGTTAGCACTTATGGGTAGTACTTATGGGTAGTATTTATGATTGGTAATGACCTTTAGGAAGAATGTTTTTCTTAATTCTCTGAAGCTTCTTTTTATAGGGCTTGTTTCAAATCTTGTTTGAAGGTCTGGGATCTTTAAATAGATTAATCGTTACTTTTTTCTTCCGGTAAAATAGTGTTTTCAGGCAGCTGGGTAACTACTCAGCTGGAGGTAAAAGGAAAATGGACTGGGAGCCAGAGACTTCCACATTGTGGAATATTGTGAAAAAAGGGGTTTTCAGCTCTACTCCATGCAAGGAAGGGGACTTTTCT